GCATATAATCACCCGAAACTCAAAAACGGACTAATCTGACACATTCACACGGCTTTTCATCAGCCTCACCAATGGTGGTTTCACAGAATTTCTCATCCGCCACTTCATTGGCGATATTTGCTCCCATCAGCACGCTCATCTTGATGCACAGCTTCTCACGAATAACCTCTGAGATCAGCTTCAGTCCGTCTGGGCCTTCATCCACCCCCTAAAACCCACCACATGCAGAGTCATCGTTTGCTATCTGTGTCTAATGTGACAGTCTTGTGATCTTAGAAAGCACCTTTCCTCTTTTTCCCCTACGAAAGACATGAGTAAGAGAGAAAACGGCACACAGTGCATATTTTCACGAGTGTACGGGACCTTGATCAGTGACATTCCCAGCGTGTCCGGTTTGATTTGGCCCTTCATGGTGTCACAGACGCGGCCGATGAACTGATGTGGAATCACAAAGAGCAGAATATCAGCGCTCTTGGCAGCGTCGAGCAGATCTGGCACCGCCACCTGTGAGCGAGAGAGAGGGGAATAGAGAGAAGAATCTGTTTGATACTGAATGATGAAACCTGGAGAAACATGCATGCACTCAATATATTCACTGTATGATTGGTTACACCTACAGTGCGGTGCTCTGTTTTGTGTGACTGACATATTGGCTGAGTTTGGGTCCACATCAAGTTCCCAAACAAATCCTTTTGGTTACTGTACCGTGTCTCTGGTGCATCTGCCAATGGTTTTCTAGGCCTCTAGCCCAGTCCTCTAGTGAATCTAGTTAGGCTGAAGCGTTTGGCTGACTCTCAACCATTTGGACTACAGGTCATAATGATGGAGAAAACACATGCAGCTTCGTCAGCTTCTTATTAGTTGCTTGAGTGCAAATGGACGGCAAAGCAAAGCAGCACGTGTCTCCCGGAGGTTTTGGGCTCAGCACTCTTCTCCAGACTTCTGTATTGTGTGTAACTTCCTCTATAGCAGAGCAACTATTTGCTGTTCTAACAATTTCCCAGGCAAAACATGAAATATCTGTTTATGTGGTTGAAACTTGTGGCTGAATATATATATATTTTTTTTCATTATATTATTTTATATAACAACACAAGTAAAATATGTATGTAGTGAGTATTTTTAAGATCCAATATATTATTGTATAATGTATTAAACAATATTATAATAAGTCAGATTAATTATATTAATAATAATGAATATTATAACAATGTATTATATTAATATTATATATATATTCATACAATATTATTTTATTATTTATGTATATAAGAAACTATATATTTAAGTATTCAAATAAAACAAGCACCTTTTTATTATTGTTTTTATTGATTATATTAAAATAATATAAAAATAAAATTATGTAATGTATTATTTTTTTTATCAATTTTATGCAAACATAATGTTCCCATATTTACTTCAAAATATATATGATTAGAACTTACAACAGTTATTTACTATATTAAAATAATATATAAGTTATCAGTTATATATATATATATATATATAAAACTGATATATAATAAACAATTATATACATACAGTATATATGTATATAAGTTATTTCTGCTATCTGCTACATTGAAAATATGAATAAATAGGATTTTAAATAGTCATTTATTAAAATAAAACAGTTTCTTACAAACTTTATTTACTATTTTATTATATAAGTATGTAAGTAAAACTATTGTTTTATAATAGAATGTATTATCTTATTTAATAAATGTACACATTTTATTATTTATATTTATTTATAATAAATTATATGATCAAGTGTAAGATGCAAGTTTCTTACAACATTCTCCGGAAGCTTGTGTCCAGGCAAATACTTGACGTTCTCGTGGTCTGTGTTTATGATCTCTGTGAGCTTACGTCCGTTCACCGTCTCTTCAAACACCCACATGTTAACCGTGGAGTCAAACTTTGAGTTATTCCTTGCATTTGTGCCAACTATCTTAGCAATAGCAGAACCCCTGCGGACATGAGCGAAAGAGAGAAAGTTAGTTATATGTGAAAGGTTGCATGCAATATTACAATACTGTGAGTGCACACTGTTGGGTGAAATGTAACCAAGGACTTTACTCTCATTATAACCCCCGGGATCGTGCACCAAGTTACGTTTGCATTCCAAGGGACAGTGATGATAGTGATCAAAGCCTGTTGTGTAAGATCAGACGGTCAGTCTACTCTAGTAAAAGTGAGGGTTAACTAGTCTCAGTTTTGGTTTAGGCCATTTTGATCCCAAACAAAGCTCTCCGTAGTGCAAAATACCCAGAAATATCCATTTTGCAGTATTGTTTGGGGAAATGAACTATTTTGGGTTGGTAATGTGTGTAAACACTGAATTAAGATTGAACTAGAAACATTTCCACTGTATATGCATTCAGAGAGTTGATACATTTTGATTCTTTAACTGGATGTATAAACATAAACTTGTATTGTTCTTACATAAACTACTACTTTTGGAATCTGGTTTAGTGTGACCATGAATAGGTGGTTTTAAAGGAACAGTAGCCCATTTCAAAGATTCAAGTAAGTCTCAAAATGATCAGCAGATCATATTCACCTTAATAAATGTCTATCAATGTGTAGCGACATTATTAAAATCCTAAAAGTTTAAGGAAGAGTCCTTGACAATCCTACAGTGAATATTTTTCATGCATTGTAAGTAGAATATTATACTACACGTTTCTGCAGCTGTCAGTCAGTACATTCAAAAAATTAGAATACTGAATCACTGATGTGGCCAGACGTCTGTATGTTGGTTAGTTGAAACTTATGGAACATAAATACTGAACCTAACCAGTGTGACTGACTGGAACATATGTCCTACTTGTTTTGCATTGCAGCAATGTTACAAACGACTCATGTAAACAGTGATAAATAGTATTCAAGTCGGTCCAAAAGCACATTCACAGCTGTTGAACAATTTCTGAAGTGGATCTCACATTGTGTAACAAAAACTACATCGTATATGTCAGTATCATCTCTAATAATACATCTGCTGTTATGCCCTTCAAATGTCATAACCTTAAACTTGTTAACAGCATGTGATTCATTGAACGGCGTGTTTAATGTTTAAACTATGCTGTCATGTGATCCTAAATCCATACAGCTCAACCAGTCATTTCTAAAAGATGAAAAATGTTACCAGTTCCCAGAGCCGACGATGCAAACTCTTTTTGGACTTGACATTGCGCTGAGAATCTTCACCGGATCCTTCGCTGAATCACAGTCACTCTGATCTGTCAATCAAACGCACACTAGAGTGTTTAGTCCGTGAAGCCACGCCCCCGGGTGTTATTGGTCACTCAGATGGAGAAAACTCAGTTGACTCCGCCTATTATCAACTGGTGGGTGTGATTACGGATTCAAGTGATTCACTTTCTATGTTAAAAAGGATACTATAATAGAAGTAAAAAGTTGTGTCAATAAATACAGTATGTACATGACCAGTTTTATGCACTGACACAAACTTTAGTCTCAGTCGGACATAATGACACACTCAAAGCCAAGCTGTAACTTGACACTCAGCTAAAACAACACAGCTGTTAGAGTACAAGGCTGAATTTATCTACTAACTTAAGGACTGATTGTCAAGCTTAAAGGGATAGTTCACCCAAAAATGAAAATGTGATGTTTATCTGCTTACCCCCAGGGCATCCAAGATGTAGGTGACTTTGTTTCTTCAGTAGAACACAAATTATGATTTTTAACTTTAACCTTTGCAGTCTATCAGTCGTATAATGCATGTCAATGGTAACAAAATCTATGAGAGTAAAAAAAAACATGCACAGTGTACAGACACGCACACAGAAATATTCCAGGCAGGCAGGCAGGTAAGCAAGACATCATTTTATGCATGATTATTCATTAAAAAAAAAATACAGCCACATGATAAACATCAAAATAATACAGAAATGTATCAGTTGAAAAAGTTTGATTTACAAATTAATACAGCTGATATTTGACAATCCTGATTTTGTAGGAAATACTGAAAATTGATTGCGTGGTTTTCTGAAAAGAAACCAGACCAGAATCTGCTGTATATGAGATAAATATTGTGTCTAAAATCTAAATCTGACATGAAAAAATATTCATAAACTACAATAGTCCACAACAAATAACTGCGTACTATCTGCTGGCATTTGACACGCCTTTCTAATGCATCACAGACTACTTCCTTTCCTGTTTAAAAATATGGGTCACTCTGTTGCTCCAACTTTTCCTCATCCATTCCAGAAATGATCACATGTAATATATACATGCACAAAGACACACTTACAAACTGAGAAACACATCCATGCACTTGCAGTCAAGCTTGCACGCACACACACCAATGGCACACAACGTTAACAGACACATATACAGACATGCACACGCATCCCAGCTCCCGAAACAAACATGACACTGCGGACAGAAGCCTTAAGAGAGCTCACATGCACCCCTGGGAATATCTAGGGTTAGCGACATGGGCCGGTGTTATCATGCTCACATCATGTAGCACCCACAAGCCTTCAAGAAACAGTTCACCCAAAAAATGAAAATGAGCTGAAAATGTAGTCACCCTCAGGCCATCCAACAAGTAGATGAGTTTGTTTTTTCAAGGGATCAGATTTGAAGAAATGTAGCATTGCATCACTTGCTCACCAATGGATCCTCTGGACTGAATGGGTGCCGTCAAAACAGCTGATAAATATCCATCTTCATGATGGATTGGTTTCATACAAACACACAGCTTTTCACTTCACAAGACATTAATTGATGGACCGGAGTGGTGCAGACTACTTGTGGATTATTGTGACGTTTTTATCAGCTGTTTGGACTCTCATTCTGACGGCACCCATTCACTGCAGAGGATCCATTGGTGAGCAGATGATGTGATGCTAAATATTTCCAAATCTGTTCTGATGAAGAAACAAACTCATCTACATTGTGGATGGCCTGAGGGTGAGTTAATTTCGTGCAAATTTTTATTTTTGGGTGAAGTATTCCTTTCAGACTGGTGCTCCCTCATGTAATGGTGTTCCCTTGTGCAATGAATCGCCTGTCACAATGCATTTACAGCCATATAATAGCCATTAAGATGCACAGAATCAAAATATGACACATACAGTAACCCCTCAAGCTAGCGGACGCAATTCTGTCGCAAAAGGCCAGGCACACAGAGATCGAACCATTTAATTAATATTAAACTTTTTTGACATTCCTGCCCTATAGAGACATAATCAAAAGCAGCTTGTTCAGTTAACCACAAAACATTTTTGGAAAAATCCTAGAAAATCACACAGGCATAATAGAGAGAGAGAGAGAGAGACAGTACAACCACAAGATGCCAGAACAATCCGTAGAAAACACAACCGTGCTGGTGTTGTGATGCCATCTGCTAAAATGTAGAACATGTACAGCTGGAATTTCTGCGGGAATGTTAATGGAATTTACTGACGTGACATTTAACATCATCCAGGCCGAGTACAGTGCCGTGATCAGTGTTGTTGTTGTGGTGATGTTTCTTGTCGGAGCAGCGGCACAACCTGTGTTTCATTACCTTGACCGACAAAAAGAAAGACAAAAAGATGTTGTGACGTTGTCTTTGAAGGGTTAGTTCACTCCAAAATGAAAGTTCTCCCTAGTGAAAAATAAACATAGTAAAATTGATCTGAAAAACATTTATTTCATGCTAAGTATACTATTAAAAATACCCTGCAGTTTTACTTTTGGGATACTAAACTGGTATACTTAAAGTCTGCTAAATTGGAAGCACTAATTTTGTGCTTACTGAACTTTAATTGTGCGGAATAATTGTTTTATTTTATTCTATTCCATCTATACCACACCTGTACATACAATTTATTATTTTTTGTGGTTTATATTTATGCATGTGTATTTTATTCACATCTCATTTTTATTATCTGTGTGTTGTTGTTGTCTCCGTGCACTGGAAGCTTGTGACACTATAACAAATTCCTTGTATGTGCAAACATACTTGGCAATAAAGCTCTTTCTGATTCTGATTCTGATTCTGAAGTAGTGCTGAAGTCCAACTAAAGATACACTGAAGTATATTTGACTGTGCTAAGTGGAACTATTGTGAGTATACTTCAGGTAAACTTGACATTTCTTCTATTTAAAGACCGATATTATTCAAAGATCATACAATCCTCATCAATAGTGACATTAAAACAGATTTCAGGCTTAATATTAAAAATTGTGCTTTGTGCACAAATAGTACCCCAAATAGAGTTTAATTATAATTTTTCTATCAGTAAGTCTTGGGTGATATACGTCAGTAAATATGTTAATAGATTTGAACTATACTTAGTATGAAATAAGTATAGTTGACTTTTTACTAGGGCATGTCATTACTCTTTTAAATCTTCAGGATTTCTTTCATTTTGCATACACTGCCATTTCAAAGTTTGAGGTTGGTGAGATATTTCAAATGTTTTTGAAAGAAGACTCTTCTGCTCACCAAAGCTGCATTTATTTGATACAGTAAAAACACTAATATTGTGAAATATTATTTCAATTTAAAATAACTGCTTTTGCTTTTAATAGATTTTAAAATGTAATATATTCCTGTGATGCAAAGCTGTATTTTCAGGATCATTACTCTAGTCTTCAGTGTCACACGATCCTTCAGAAATCATTCTGATATGCTGATTTGCGACTCAAGAAACATTTCTTATATTTATCAATGTTGAAAACTGTTGTGCTGCCTCCTATTATTGTAAACAACCATTTTTTCAGGATTCTTTGATCAATAGAAAGACATTATAAAAATCTTTACTGTCACTTTTGGTCAATTTAATGCATCATTGCTAATTAAAAGTATTACTTTCTTTTAAAAACGACTCTTATTGACCCCAAACATTTGAATGATAGTGTATTTAAGCTTGACATATTGCAATGGATAATGTAGCAATAGATTTTTGGTGAATAGCGACTTTCTGCAGAAAAATCTCTGTTCCACAGATAAAAAGAAAGTCATTTGGGTCGTCATGAATGTCATGAGGGTAACAGAATTTAAAATATTCCTTTGGTAAACTATAAAAATGTCACCACACAAATCCCAGCAGAAATGTTTATGACAAAACAGCCATACAGATACGTTATATATCTTACCTCATAAAGGTAGTCAAAAAGCTCCAAAATCGTAAGAACACTGGCTCCAATGAACAGCCCCATCTGTCCTCCGATATCACCTACCAACACACAAACACACACACATTTCACAAGAGGTGAAAAACATTCACTAAGATGTTTTGGCTAATTTCTTATCCAGGTCTGTGATATTCTCTGTAGATATTACCTCTAATTCATTGTACACTAGCATTCAAAAGTTTGATTTCGGTCAGATTTTTAAAAATAAATTAATACTTTTATTCAGCAAGGATGCATTAAATTGATCGAACGTGACAGTAAAGACATTTATAATGTTACAAAAAACGCTGTTCGATTCATCAAAAAATCCTGAAAATTTTTAGCAATTTCCAAATCAGCATATTAGAATGATTTCTGAAGGATCATGTGACAATGAAGACTGGAGATATGATACTGAAATTTCAGCTTTGCATCACAGGAAGAAGTTACAATTTAAAATATATTCATATAAAAACAGTTATTTTAAAGGGGTCATATGATATTGCTAAAAATAATATTATTTTGTGTATTTGGTGTAATGAAATGTATTTATGCGGTTCAAGGTTCAAAAAACACATTATTTTCCACATACTGTACATTATTGTTTCTCCTCTATGCCCCGCCTTTCTGAAACGTGTCGATTTTTACAAAGCTCATCGTTCTGAAAAGCGAGGTGTGCTCTGATTGGCCAGCTATCAAGTGCATTGTGATTGGCCGAAAACCTCAAGCGTGTGATGGAAATGTTACGCCCCTTACCATACTGTGATGCCGTGTCCCGGCCGGAGCGACGAGACAAAACCAATAAAACCCATTATAAACGAGGCATTTGTTGCATCCAGTGGGGACATAATTAGGGATTATAATGACTTGTACTGTTTTTTTACGTGCTGCGTTGCATTGCGCCGCGTAAACATAAAACCATGTCTGCATTTGTGATCGGAGAAACGACAAACAACAAGCCCTACTCTACACTGCTCAAAA